TAACTCAGGCAGTAATTATCTGAAATCGTTGAAAATCACCAGGCTTCTTCGTCTGATGACCTTAAACACTGTGTATAAATTTAAAGTCAATCGGATATTAACTTTAGCCTCAAGAGTGCCACAAGATTTTTCAAAGTGATCAAGGGCCATAACTCTGGCAGTAATTATTAGAAATCATTGAAAATTAACAGGATTTTTCGTCAATCGGATATTAACTTTAGCCTGTAGAGCATCCACAATATTTTTCAAAGTGATCAAGGGCCATAACTCAGGCAGTAATTATCTGAAATCGTTGAAAATCACCAGGCTTCTTCGTCTGATGACCTTAAACACTGTGTATAAATTTAAAGTCAATCGGATATTAACTTTAGCCTCAAGAGTGCCACAAGATTTTTCAAAGTGATCAAGGGCCATAACTCTGGCAGTAATTATTAGAAATCATTGAAAATTAACAGGATTTTTCGTCAATCGGATATTAACTTTAGCCTCTGGAGCGTCCACAGACAGATGAATGGGGGCGACGACCATATACGAACACATTTTTAATGTAGGCGTATAAAAATTATTGAAAAGTCGAGCAAAGATACAGTCTGATAAAAATCCAGATCTATATTTCATTTGGTTTGTTTACACTTCCCATGGCCTTTACTACTTGAAGATCAGATCGGTTGCAATGGAAGGTCGCGTCAGAGGTCATACGAGTGTCTTTTGAACCTATGACGTCAAACATTTGATTAACAAATCAGCGTTGATGTTTCTAGCGGGTTACCCACAGTTCCGTGTAGCTCAAGCCAAAAACTCGCTGTAACAGACCATTTCATTGGCTAATCCGTCACATCATCCAGAATGCAGGTTATATAACAACTCTTCCAGGTCCTAGTGTAGTAAAGACAAGTAAAATGAAATTTTGAACTGTAAAAAACGAAACAAAATAGGATCGTGTTTTAATTAGATTGAGCAAAGAGACAACAATGCGAAACTCTTTGTTGATATTTGTCCAATTTATCATTGAGTGACTTGATAAAGTCAACTTTTTTATAGCTTTCATTACATGAACTGGTTATATAAAGATAGGTTGCCAGGCAACGAAACATACGCCCACAGCAGCTAAATTGTCCGAGCGGTCGACAAGGTTTGTCACATATTTATTCCTGTGTAGGTAATTGAGGCCTTTACAAAACAGTTCCATACAGATCAGATTATAAATTTTGTCGTTTGTGGGTTCACAAGGTTCTACAAACTGAAACAAGGGTCTCAACTCTGGAAGTAATCTACAGAAATTGTTGAAATTTGACAGGCTTTTTCGTTTTACTAATTCAAATAATGCATATAAATTTTATACAGATCACATGATCACTTTTGTCATTCAAACGTTCACAATCCTCATAACTCTAGAAATTATTAACTGAAATTGCTGAAATTCAATAGACCTCTGTTTCACAAATTTAAATAATGCATATAAATTTCATACATATCGGATGATAACTCTAGAAGTAATAAACGGAAATTGCTGAAATTCAATAGGATTCTTCTCTTGACTAATTTAAATGACACATGTAAATTTCATACAGATCAGCAGAGCATTAGAGCATTCCCATGGTGCAACAATTCAATAGGATTGTTCTCTTGACTAATTTAAATGGCACATATAAATTTCATACAGATCAGCAGTTAACTTTAGAAGTTAGAGCGTTCACAAAGTGCAACAAAGTAAAACAAGGGCCATAACTCTGGAAGTAATAAACGGAAATTGCTGAAATTCAATAACATTCTTCTCTTTACTAATTTAAATGACACAATATGTAAATTTCATCCAAATCGCCAGAACGTTAGAGCGTTCCTTTGGTCCAACAAAGTGAAACAAGGGCCATAACTCTAGAAGTAATTGACGGAAACCGCTGAAATTCAATAGACGTCTTCGTTTCACTAATTTAAATCACGCATATAAATTTCACAAAGATCGGGTGATAACTTTTGGCGTTAGAGCGTTCACAAGGTTCAATAAAGTGAAACAAGGGCCATAACTCTAGACGTAATAAACGGAAATTGCTGAAATTCAATAGGCTTCTTCGTTTCACTAATTTAAATCATGCGTATAAATTTCACAAAGGTTGGGTGATAACTTTTGGCGTTAGAGCGTTCACAAGGTTAAAAAAAAGTGAAACAAGGGCCATAACTCTAGACGTAATAAGCGGAAATTGCTGAAATTTAATAGGCTTCTTCGTTTCACTAACTTAAATATTGCATATAAATTTCACAAAGATCGGATGTTAACTTTTGGCATTTGACTAGAGCGTTCACAAGGCTCAACAAAGTGAAACAAGGGCCATAACTCTAGACATAATAAACGGAAATTATTGAAATTAAATAGGCTTCTTCATCTCACTAATGTAAACAACATATATCAATTTTAAAAAAATTGGATAATAACTTTTGGCGTTAGAGTGTTCACAAGAAATTGTGGACGATGGACGGACGGACGGACAGGGGCGACGACAATATACGTCCACATTTCAATGTGGGCGTATAAAAAGCAGATAATCTTATCACACAGAATCTGAAATGAAATTGGGTTTAACGTCCTACTTTTCTGCACCGGCGGGCTTACACCATATAGTGTGCTATGAGGGAAATTTTGACCGGACAGCGGGGGCTACAACCTAGAGCTGGACGATATTGGTAAAATCAAATATCGCGATATTTCCAAAAAAAACAACGATATATCACTATATCGCGATATTTTAGTTTTATTATAAAAAGCTAACAATATATCGCGATATATCACAATATCCCGATATTTTAGTTTTATTATAAAAGATGTGATTATATAAGTGTTAAAAACAGGTCATTCCCTCCCCCTTAGTTTAGGGTGCATTATTCCTGTTTCAAAAGCACAGACCGAGAATTAAGTTCAAGGGTTAGGGTTTTGGCTAGGCAAATGTGGAGAGGGGTGGGGGAGATGTCCTAGAACCGTGTTAGGCTTTATTACTACTGTTCAATCAGCTTGAGCTTCGCAATGTTCCGCCAAAATGTTGAATAACATGTGGGTATGAGTCGACTCAAAGAACCAGACGTAATTTCTCCTATTCGGTACACTACAAAAGCGCATAACTCTGGAGTTTGTCTAAATCTCGAATATCTAGACGCAATTTAGTTTTATTTACAAATAACATTTTACTTTTATTTAAATCGGCTTCAGTTTAAAAATTGGCAAAAAAACCCCAAAAAACACCCAAACACACACACAAAATGATAGTTAACTAACAAACGGCATCATACATTAAATGGTAATAACTATTTCCCAACGGTGCCAATGATAAATCGACCGAAGACGACGAAGAGAAGATATTACACCATGACTTACTTGGCTGGTTATTCGAGTGTTGCACAGCATTAGCGACGGGTTTGACATTATAATGACAAATTCCAACGGCAAGAGGGGAATGTCTCTATAAATTAAATAATAATTTTTCAATTATGAATTTATTTTTCAAGTTTAATAATGAAAAAACCACTAGACTATTCATGTATTTAGTAGGCCTTGTCAATGAACAAGTGACAAGTCATCCGAGTCATTGATCGTGACGTAATGTCGTAAATTGTTCGATGTCAATCCCATCCCAAATGCAGCACATAATATCGTGATATATCGTGTAAAATACCGGTATATTAATAGAAAAACACACAATACGATATATCATTATACCACGATTTTTTAGGTGGTTTATAAAATATCGGAATTCAAATTTTAATATCACGATTTATCGAATTACCGAAAATATCGTCCAGCCCTACTACAACCTACACTTATTTCGAATTCCAACTGTCAAGGGATCTTTCACACACATGCCAACGTACACTGGGACCTTGCTTTTATATCCCATCTAAATGACAAGCGGCTACCGCATCACAGAATCTAAAACTGCCATAATTGCCCATACTTCTCGCAGTGTTTTGTTTGATTAGAGCTAATCCCACTACAATATCATTACACTTTAAACAGAGCTCCAAATTGCAGAAAAACTCATTGCGTGACAAAGGAGGCTATCAACAGGATACAATGTATTTCTCGGGCCATTGCTTCAGGAATATAATTGCCATACATGTAGAATATTTATATAGCCACACTATTTCTGCGCTCATCCACCATATTTGATTAAACATGGTCCCCCACATTATCAACTTATGTTGTTCATTAATTTGACAGAAATTTATGAGCTTGCTTTGGTGAACAAAATTTTGAAACCAGTCAATTGCAAGTTCAAGTCAACATACAAGAGATTCATAGTGATATTGTCCGGCTAGCAATATCAATTGCTAACATAGAAAATCCTGGTGAAATACCACAGGCTTCCGTGACGATCAAGTGATTATGTCGAAAGACAAACTGACCAATGTTATTAAGGTGTTTTGGACCATAGACGGTAATAATTTGTTTAATGGCATGGCTAGACTCTATACACATAAAACACAGGTGTGGATATAAGGGGGGGGGGGGGGGGGTGCGGTGGGGCCAGGCTAATTTAGACTAATCTTCACTTTTTGACTTCAAAATCGATATGGTACAATACAGCTCAAATTCTTTATTACAATCCAACCACGACTGATATTGTAGATAATTAATATGATTGAAATTATATATGATGTTTGGCTATGTACTGGTACAGTGTTTTGAATGATATGATAGTGTTCGCTTATTACAAACTCTATTTCCACATCTTGACGCAACAAACCTCATTTACTTTAAGTTTAACATTTGTCCTATTTACAATCTATTCAATTTCTATTTACCACCATTTGTACATGTAATGCCAACAAATTTACTGCTTCATAATCCAGCATCCCCACATATAGACAATACGGCTGACTATGGTGTATAAACTTGTTGTACTATCCATGATTTTATTTATCCTTCACAAAACATACAGATAAAATGTACTATTTTACTATATTTTACTGAATGCCAAGTAACTTTTCAACAGGTGGATATCTCCAATCATCGTCTTCTAATGTTTTTACTAATTCTTTCAACTCCTTTAATCTTCCTTCGTGTGCTTCTGTAAAATTATTGACAAAAATAATACTGACTTCAGTGTCATACTTAAATCAGTTATAATATAGTTTTACAATTTGAGAATGATTCTAGTTTGAATAAAAAACACATGCAAGGCAACCTCATTAGATGGCCACCATCAGGCACATGGGCAATCTAGAGCACAGCAGAGGCGGATTCCAATGAAAAATAAGTGTTAAATACATCTAAACTTGCTACACAATTAATGTTGGGGGTTATACCTGGCACTTATGTGTATTTTAAATTAATAATTCCATGAATGTGATTTTCACGATTCTAACATATTCTTGACCCAGGGCTAAGATTCCCAGTCAAAAATGTAACCTTTAGTTTAAGCAAACTGGTGTCCATAATCTGCTGGAAATTAATTTTTGGCTGCTTAAACCAAAAGATATTTTATTCATGCATTAAACAGTTATATACTGATAAATATTTTAAACTGGTAGTCTAACCCAAAAAAAGATATTAAACTACATGATCCCTAAATTTTCTAAAATGAAAGCTTCTCAAATCAATGGTATTACAAATTTTCAAAAGAGAATATCTCCCAAATGTCCATGGCATGTTCAGAAAATATTATGTCCAAGAGTATTGAAAAGGTATTACAATCCAAATCTGGAATTCTCAACATTATTATTATATAATATCAAAAAAATAGATGAAACTCATTCAAATAAATTACAAATGAAAGAATGTGAAATTGTTCACAAACAACCTAATAAAAAACCAAAATGCCATGGGCGCAGATCCCGGTGGGGACAGCGGGACGCGTCCCCACCAATATTTTTAGTGGTGAGGACATGATATACTGTGTCCCCACCACTTATTTCCGATGTTTTGCTTACTGTTTATTTTTTTTAAATTGAAATCATTCCAGAGCTTTTATTGACATTTCAGAAAGTGTAGAGTTGATCCCAGGCACTTGAGGCCAGGGTCCTTAAGTTGTACAGCTGCACCCGGTGACAGATTTTTATTTAACAGGGAATAAGTGATAATTCATATTATAACAGTAAATAATTAAAATATTCCATAGGGTTTATAATAATATGTATATCATGTAGGTGTGCATATCTAATAGCTGGGTATTAAAGGGTTAAGGAATAACTGAGATTTTGTTTTTATCTGGTATACTGGATGATAAATCACTTAACTAAAGGAAATGAAATGGGGTTTAACGCCCTACTGTACTGCTCCTATGCTGGGCTAATGAAGATGGCCATACGCCATACAGTGTGCTATGAGGGAAATTTTGCCCGGGCAGCGGCACTGTCACCTACTCTTTATCAAATTGCAACTGCCAAGGGATCTTTTACGTGCATTCCAATGTATACAAGGGACCTCGGTTTTCCGTCTCATCCGAAGGACTACACAGCTGTCCTTGTCAGGCCCTCCGTCCTGCATTACTGACAAGGGGATTTGGTTTGTATATCAGGGGAAGCCTTCATTGCTAGATTTGCTGCCATACTAAATAAACCTATTTTTAAAGATTGGTTTCTATCTCTTTCTGTGGAATATAGGCAATTAAATCTAAAATTTAAGACTTGAGTACAGTAAGCTGAGCCAAGAATCGTGTACTTATTATTACAAGTAAGTGAAAAATACAAACTAAATTTCTTATAAAAAAAAACCCTTATTGCTACAAAGTTATTTCAAAACGTATAACTAGTAAATATAACCAATAAACAAAATCACTTTCTCTTTTCTCATGGATATTAAAATATGTACTTACCTTTTACACCTTCTTTAATAAATATTTCAGTGTCTCTCTCTACTTGCAATTTACTCATTATATTTAAAATTTTATTAGTATTATCTACAACAAAAAATAATCATAATCAACTATTTATTATATCACAGGATCATACACCCAACATCAAATTTTGGGGGCAATAACTACAGATAACATCTGAATTTCCATATTACGTTTACCTAATCAATTGCATCAAATTTGGAAAGAAAAAACTTTTAACACTGTATGGGTTTTTACACTTTGTAATAGTTAATTATAAGCGATCGTCCAACAGAGGTGAATTTTGAAAATTGGATCGCGGTAGATGAGATTAAAAACACTTTCTTGTGGGTGTAGATTGAAACTGGAACCAATGAATTCAGTGTCAATAAAAACCCACCTTCTGCACAATCTGGACTAACGAAGATGCAGTGTACTATATAAGTAAGGGAAATAAAGGTAGAGGACTTCAATTGGTGAGTGGTGTTGCAATGGTTAATAACTCACTCCTTGGAAACAAAAATGACCCATAAAATACCTCACCACTAAATATGAGATAATGTACATGCAACATACATGTATTTCACATGAGTTTCTTACAAGCTTTGATGACTGCCTCAAGATCAATATCATCCACAGGCTTAAACACAGACAACAGAAGTACATATAGTAAACAAATGTACATATATGAATATCAAGTTGATATTTCTCAAAACGCTCCAGGGTGACCTACGTTCACCTGGCATATTCTGAAAGAGGACACCCTAGGCTACTAAAATCAATCATAAAAAAAACTTTGTATACAATTTCCAGGTTCAGCCATAGTTCTGCTGGACTATCAACTAGCTCCAATATTATAATCACAACAAACATTAACGAATACCTGGACGTCGATTTCAGAGCACTACCCATGCACCCAATGCGGTGTGTTGAACATAGAAGACAAATGAAAACTTGGCCTGCACATAACGGCACTGATGAACGGTGTGGTGAAGCATCTTCCTTACTATAAGACAAATGCACAGGGGCTCTTCCAATGATGTAAACGGGGCCCTTTTCTCCGATTCAAGGGCCCTTTCTTGGAATCGTGGAAATTGGTGCAGTCAGTATTGCACACTCATAGACATGGCTCTAAAAGTAAAATAAGGTCCATGAGTGGTGCTTTTTAGCTAATAACGTACATAAAATCGCTGAAGTTACTTGATAAAAGTGTTGAATTATTATAAATTTGTGTCAGCTGTGGCGAGAAATGTTTCCTTTTGGCAAACAAAGAATAATCATGGCGATAAATAGTTGGTAAGGATGCCAAAATAGTCTTAGAACAGAGGTGGGGAAGAGCAGTATGTTCCTTTTGCAAATATCCTTGCCAACTATTTTTCACCTTGATTCTTCTTTGTTCACCAAAAGGAATCTAGAACGGGAGCCCAGAGGGTCAAACCTAGACGAATGAGGTACATGTACCAATATCTGACCTAAGCATCTACATACTAACCTGGGATGCACACCTAGGGACTGGGATCCAGACAGACGCCCATTTCTGTACATCCCAGGTTAGTATATGTACTAGTACATGGTCAGATATTGGTACCTTTTTGTTCGTCTAGGTTCGCCCCTCTGGGCTTCCGAGTCCGAGTCTGAGTCTAGATTCCGTTTGTCAAACAATGAAGAATCAAGGTGAAAAATAGTCATTAAGGATTCCAAAATAGCCTTAGAACAGAGGTGGGGAAGAGGGGTATTTTCATATTGCAGCTACATATATTTATAGGGAACGAATACGGAATAGGAAGGAACGGTCAGCGGACAGGCGTAAAAAAAAACAAACAAAAAAACAAAACAATGAAGAGTAGTCAGAGATTCCGCTGTTGTACAAAATTTCCCTCATACATAACACACATGGCATAAGTGTAGAAAAGTGTAAATCTCATTTTTCGTGTTTCTGACCAAAACAAAAATGAAAGTAGCCGCACTTACTAGAAGCATAACGCATGTTTTCGAGAACTGGGGTTTGAAACAGAGTTTTTCGAATGTGATCACTATTGGTCTTTGGTGTTCGGCTAGAACCGGACATGTTTCGTACTAAAATGTTTGTTTGGGTTCCTGCATAATGTAGTTTCCTGAATTGATAATGATAATAAAATTCCTTCTTTCTACACCATTGAAGTCATTGCGCAGGCTCGGTGCTTTTTTTTCTTGGATTTCCCTTTTGTAGTCTTGCAAATCCAGACCCGCCACAATGAAACGAAATCTTCTCACCACGAATGTAAGTTAACTCGTCCACATTGAAACTTGCCCACACGAAAAGTCTAGTTAAGTCGTCCACTGATCAATGCTTCTCATACATACGGCTAACAAAAGACGCCTTTGAATTCGTCTATTCCCCTTTAGGCTTTGGGTTACATGAGAATCTTGTTCATGACAACACAAAATTTAAATTGTCGTAAATTATAGGCTCCCTTCAATCAGCAATAGAGAGTATTTTATAATATAAACTAGTTTGGAAATAGAACGTGTCTGTTCGAGCCAACTTTTAGTAAAATTGTGGACGACATAACAATAACCAGGAGGACGAATCTGTGTTCTAATTTGAGTGTGGACGAGTCAGAAGCATAAAGGGGAGATAATAATTTTGAAAGGTCAAGGCTGAAAGAGACACGAAAAAGTATTTTGTAGGCTAATTGAAAAATGTTTGATTTTTATTCTCTAAAGATAATATTAATTTTCTCTGATTAAGAAAGATCGTGTACGGGGATATCTGCATGTGAGTCAGTTACTTATAATTAATTTTAGTTATATCTAAGTCTTTATCACACTACAAGAGAGATATGAACTTTGAAAAAATGGTGAAATGCAGAAATGACAATCTTGAATCTGACATCTGTATTTCCCTTCTTCTAGTTCTATATCACATGGATGTTAATATTTTCTCAAATCTCGTTTTCCAATTTAATTCAATTTCTGAAGTACCACTAGTATTATATCAGGGGATTCAATTAACAATACTAATTCTAACTAAGTCTATAATATTATAGTGTCTAGCATTACGTAGATGCATCACAAAAGTCTCTCTGATCCATATTCTCTATATAATTCTATACATTATTGGCATTATGGAGTCCTGTTGTGAGAGACCAGATAATTTATGAATAAGATTAATAAGAATAACTTTTTTCTAAGTGGATTGCAATTGGAAATATTTTAACAGACAGTGGAATAATTACATGTAGGCCTACAATTTCTTGAGATTTTGGCACGCCACCTCATACTCCGCATGGCCATACCCAGCTGAATAAAGAATGAATGAAATGGTGTTTAATGGCACGTCAGCACCAATCAGCCTATATTGCTCCAAATGTATGTTTTGAAAAATGAAAAACTGGTAAGATTGTAGTCCATGGCATGTATGGCAGTATCATAACCTCCCACAATTAATACTACCCTGTAAATTCTGATTGTATTTTGTTAAGAACAAATTTTTGGCCGTTTTCTGATTTTATTATTTTTATTTTAGTGACAGACTGGTAGAATGTCTAGAAGTAGACATGTTGGAACATGGAGGCAAATTTTCCATTGGGGACCAATGTTAGCTCTTTCAGTTATTATAATAATTGCATGGATGACAGTGGTGTGTGATTTGATGTGGTGGCCAATAACATCTATAGGGGGTTGTATAAATCTACTGGTATTTTTGATATGGGTTGGACTGACTTTCTACAATTATTTTAGAGCAGCATTGTTAGGTCCAGGATTTGTGCCTTATGGTTATAAACCAGTAAGTGTGGATATTAAGTATAACAATGTATTTAACTTTTAAAAAATATTAGTTTCAAATATTAAAGGGAGAATAGGCGAAAGCATGTGGTAAGCATTTACTACATACTCATTGACAAGTGGGGGCTGGGTCTTGGATGTTGGTGTGGTGGGGGTTGGGGAAGAGGGGGCGTTGTTCTAATATGCACACTTTAGATCATAAGGTCTGCCATTGAGTCAAAAGGCATGGTTTCAAGCCCACCATTGTATGTTACAAAGAGTAGGGTCACCTGTCCAACCTCATTGGTTTTCTCAGTGTCCTCTGGTGTTCTCCCACAGCTAAAGCCCTTTAAGTACAAGTGGGGTGGATATTAAACCCCATTTCTCTCTTTCTCTCACCACTGACAAGTGGACATTTTATATTTTGTGAAGTTTTATCTGTTTGTTTATTTTAGGAGAATGAATCAGATTGTGATAAACTACAGTATTGTCAAGTTTGTGAAGGATATAAGACCCCAAGATCACATCATTGTAGAAAATGTGAAAGGTATGAAATGTTTTATGTATAGTTCACCAAACTGATCTGTGGTAGATTTTCACTTGGCCAGAATATTGTGGCATCATCAGTGTGGAACAGTTTGATAGTTCACCGACATTTTCTTATATATTTTTTAGTATTGGAAAGATTAAAATCAGGATCAAGTGGTCTGCCAAATATTATCCATACAACCTCAGAAGTACTATATGACTTTAAAAGATTAAATTAAGAAAGATTCTAACAGAGATAAAACATTATTTTCCTACGCTGGTCTACCGAAAAAACACATTATTCTGTAATATTAGATTATTATTGTCATGAGGTGTAATGTGTGACTCATCCCTGGCCTAAGTCATGTCTACATGCAGATGCCGTAAAAACAAAATAGAACATCAAGCACTGTAGATCTAACAAAAGTTTGTTTTTGATTTCAGATGTGTTATGAAAATGGATCATCATTGCCCATGGATCAACACTTGTTGCGGTCATTTAAATCATTGCAGTTTTATTTGGTTTTTATTTTTTGCACCATGTGGGTGTATTCATGCCATATTTATACTCATTCCATCTATATATAGAGCACTTAATTTTGTAAGTTTTAATTTCTTTATTATTTACATTACATAATGACTGTTAGAACTGATAAGTAATTTCAAAAAGTATATTAAGTGTATTCTGTATCTTTAGAAAACAATGGTTAAGGCCGCACAAAAAAAAATATTCTGGTTCTCAGACAATCGTTTGTAAAAAGTTGAAGCGGGAGGGTGGTTTTTTTTTGGGTTTTTTTCTCGTCAAAATTCTAGCTATCTTTTCGAATTTAAAGCTGAACTCCGATTACAAAACTACAAAAACAATTCAATAAAAAAAAATTAATGCCCTAAACTGTTTTCAGTTTATAGAATAAACATGGCAACTGATTACGGAATATAAGAATAGAGGCAGGCCACGCCCTCATCCAGTCAAGCACTGTGTCAACATCCGGTTAATTATATTTCAACTACCAATTACATGCTTGACTGATTGATGTTTTATTTCACTATCAATTTACTGAAAATATTATTGCTACACAATTATTATCTCTGATCAGGTACATATTATTTTACTTATTAGACGAAATAAGTCAACCACAATGTACTTTTGCTCTAAAGATAAGAAAAAAACTGCCTTAACCCAAATAATAACAACTCTGCAACACCAACCAATTCTATTAGTAAGTGCAGGGGGACTGCACCACACAAAATTTACACAAAAACAAATACACAGACAGGACATCATACTCAGGAAAACACAAACATACAGACAATTCAAAAAAAATGAATGGATCCGGGGGCTAGCTGTAAGCGTCCACTGGACTGTACAGTCCCGGGTCTGTAGTGACACAGACTTCACTCAAATTTGAAAACAATTAGGAATACAACCCAAAGAACCCATTGTGTAATGCCAGCATGAGTCATGATCTGCAATATGCTACACGAAAGATGAATATATAGTAAAATTCAACTATACAAGTAACCACATGGGTGAAATGTATAAAAAAGTAGTCTAAACTCTTAAATTCAATAAAGAAACGCTTCAGTATTCAATACACATAGGGTACATGTTCCATCGTCACAAAAAACAAAAACAAAACTGAATACAAAGAAGCAAGTAGGAAATGTAGACTGTCTCGAGGGACAGCCGTCTGCTGACTGAGAATGACGTCATATCTTAGAAGGTGATAAAAAATCACAATAATAAGGGCGATAATCCAGATAAAATAACGTTAAAAGCTTAAAAACCATAAGTTCTCGCGATTAATCGGAATTATTAAAGTTATGTAATTGTACAATATATAAGCCATGAAATCAAGGGACATAACTACTTATGTCCCTTGATTGTTATAAATAACAACAAGTTGGTGACATTTTGTGACTATTTTGAGGTGAAAACATACATATTTGATGGAGAGAACAACAGTTCTATTGCTGCTTTGGATATATTTTGGAATGATAATGCTAGACTTTATGATGCAAAAAATTATTTGGTGTTTCTATGTTTATTTAATGACATGGTAGTATCTGAGAACCAGAATATTTTTTCTTTTGTGGACTAATAAATTGTTTTGATAAGTTTCATTTTCTTTATTACCGTATTTACATTACTATTTAAGCTGATAAAACTATGGAATGTGTAACGTCGGAAAGTAAATTTGTTACCTTTTGTTTCTTTACGTCAAATTAGTTAATAAGTTGTTACCTTATGTTGCAGCATTGGTATTTATATTATAGACGTGAGGAACCATTAGTAGAATTGGGTATAGTAGGTTTTATATGTACTATGTTTGCTATTGGGTTAGCAATAGGTGTTGTTATAGCTGTAGGAATGTTATTTTATATACAGGTAAATATTACCATGTTAAACTCAATCCTTGATATAATAAGATACAATGAATTATATGAAATTAATGTAAAAATAATAGTCAAGTAGACCCATAAGAAAACCTCCAAAGAACAAAATTTTAAAAGTAAGAACATCTTCAAGACAAAGTTTTATTGTCAATAGTCAAGAATATTATTCTAATCGAATAGACAAGGGCCTAATCCAAAACATCCAAAAGTTATTAAAATTAATTACTGTCTCATCTCTTCTTCTTGTCTAGTAAAAGTAAGAAAATATCTTCTGAAATCATAATTTTACAGTTCTAACAGGCCTTCACTTTCTAGAACCTCCAGTTTCATCAGGCTACTAGTGTGATTGTGGTCAAGTTATATACCATTTCTAATTTTGTTTACAAATTATATATGTATTAACAATTTGCTTGCACATCCTTAAACATTATTGGTGACAATATATTTTTTTCTGATATTAATTGATAGATTGATAATTTTTTTTAAAGTTTAAAAGTGTGTGGAAGAATGAAACGGGTATAGAAAATTGGATCATTGAAAAGGTGAGCTGATTATTTTCCTTTTAGCTTTTAAATAAGGGAGATAACTGTTTTTTTAAATACTGCTCCTTCCATCTCTCATGTCCATAGAGTAGTTCACAAAATTATCATCTACAAAGTATCTTTAAAAAGCAATGGTTTCCATTCAATTTACTGATAACAATGGATCAGTACCAATGTTGTCTACATTGAGCATTTTGGCTTACTCCGAATACAATCGAGTTGCCCCCTACCTTACCACAGGATATGTGAACCTGCTCTAACCAATGAGGATCTTTTTATTGGGCCCGCCTTTCGAAGAAAGCAGGGGACTAGGACTATTAAAATGGTTTGTCCATCTGTCAGTCACATTTTTGAGACACAATAACTCTCTGCTAATTGGTGTAGGTGAATATTAGGTTAATGCCTTGTTTAATAGGTGGATACAGTGAAAAATGTTATATCTATGTCGATTGTTCTTTTTACTAGGCTGAAGATAGATTACGAGGTGAAGATGAAGAAGAAGAGTTTATATACCCCTATAATTTAGGTTGGAAAGAGAATCTACGACAAGTTTTTACTTTCACTGGTCGTCCAAAATCTGATGGAATAACATGGCAGGTCGTAGATGGTTGTGATCAGTTTACATTTACAGTAAGTGTTCACCACATGAATTTCAAAACACAATCGGATTGTGCTTTTACTACAAATTAGGTGTACTTAATAATAAGTTTGTCGCTTACTGATAGTATTTTAAATATTACCAATATATTGTATAGCAAGAAAATTTTGCAAGCTTTAAAAGAATGAAAAAAATAGTTTTTTTTTATAATATTTACATGCTACATGGATTTGTTCATCTGTCTGTAGATGTAGAGGTTTAAATTTGGTGTAGGTTTTCAATAGGTGAATGTCTTGAATGAGTTCAATAAAGTGTATGTTATGACATTAGAATACAATAACTTTGATTCTATTCTAAACAGTTTGATTGCTCAAAGCTTTATAAATGGATAAATGTGAAAGTAGTTAATGGTACTGTTGGTTTGTTTTATATAAAAATAATCATGAATATTTACACATTCATCTCAACTAAACTAGATTACCACAATGGTTTACTGTTCGGCTTACCAAACTATCTGATTATCAAATTACAACACGTCCAAAATTCAGCAGCTTGACTCCTCACTAAAACTAGAAAATATGAACCCACCTTCCCGGTATTGCAATCTTTACTTTGGCTCCCAATTCAACAAAGAATTAAATTCAAGTTACTCCTCTTCGTCTTCAAAGCGTTAAATGGCCAAGCCCCATCTTATATAAAAAGTCTTGTAGAACCCTATGCTACCAGCAGAAATCTCTGTTCTCAGAAAGAAACATCTTCTAAAATCTCCAGCTATTAACTTACAACTTGGAAAACGTGCCTTTTCTTATGCTGGTCCTTTTCTATGGAATAGACTAACACAGTCAATGAAACAATTACCGTCTGTGGGCCATTTTAAATCTCAACTCAAAACATTCTTGTTTCAAAACCCTGATCTGTCAATCTGATTAAAATATGTTTCATTTTTTTTATTCTTTCAATGGCCTTTACTGCATGAAGATCTGACCAGTTTTAGTGTGAGGTCAGACATAATTTTATTATCCAATCAGCGTTGATGTTTCTAGTGGAATACCCACAGTTCCAAGAACTTGCTGCAACAGACCATTTCATTGGCGAACCCCTCACATCAACCAAAACGCGGATTATATAACAACTCTTTCAGATCCTAGTGTAGTAAAGACAAATAAACGAAATTTTGAACTATAAAAAACCAAACGAATTAGGATCTGCGTTCTAATCAGATTGCTGATCTGTAAATAATGAGTGAATATAACAACCAACAACGCCTTAGAAACTGTTTTTTCAGTATTAACACACTTTATAAATGACGATATTATTATTATATTTTATTACAGATTGAACAAATACATCAGAAAGCTGAAAAACGTGAAAGAACAGTAGAATATACAATAATATCAGATTATGGTGGCTCATTATTTCCTATAACTAAAGGTTGTAAAGTTATGTACTGTATACCCTGTACAGATGAACCACGAATACCAGTTCTAACAGGAAATAAGGTTCTTGTAACACGCTGGAAAAAGTAGGTTTAGTTTTATATTTACATTAATTAGGGTTTCACACTGCGAAGCTTGTGTGAAACACTATTGTTTTTGTTAAAATTATTATTCTTATTATTATTATTATTATTATTCTTCTTTTGTTTTGAGTAGATCTCAGCAACTACTTGTCGCATCGTTACGATTTCTTCGGTTTTACTGGGAAAGTGGGTGTGACTTAGAGGATAAAGCTATTTTGAACGTTCTGCGACAATGCGAAATGTCCGAAATCACCGAAGTTATCGTTTTTACAAATATTGCGGTAATTTTAACAATAATCATGGGATTTTAACTTTCGATACATTTTGGCATAGCTGGAGACAGGGCACATAGCTGCGCTACTTTCGATTTTTGATTTTCAGCAAAAATTCGAAGATATTAGGCGCCAAATTTCGGAAATTTAAAATTTTACAAAAAACTTTTTTATTGATGAATATTTTTTACTCGTGTTGTGCACAGAATTAAAGAGTCATCTGACTTGCGCAAAAATGTTAAAATTTTTTGTCTCAGTAATTTTCCTTGGCCTCCATTGGCTAATTCAGTTTTTCAGTCCTAGCTTAATTTTTTATTGTTCGATTTGTATAAAACAAAGTTCATATGCTTCGTTGTCTCAATTGTCATTTTTTTTATTACCAAAAGTGTTATCTGTCGGCACCGGAAGTGGCATAATTTTACCAAAAACTACAATTTTGACAGTTAGGTACCATTTTTTGAAAACAAATATTATTTTTTTGAAAAATTATATGACTCAAAGAGTGTGTCCTTTAAAGGCGCAAAAAATGTCGGAAGCAGTTTTTTTAATTTCTTTTTCATTTTCTAGCAAATTGGATTAAGAGGTGAAAAAAAGCGTAAAATTGACCTATTTACAACTCATTCAGGCTTTTCAGATTTTAAAATATTTTTACGTAACTTTTATAAACTTGTAGCTATAATCCATACGAAGAGAATGTATGTGAAAATTAGTTTGTAATATAAGCAGTTGCCGAGAAATAGGCAATTTTGCATGAGTCACTTTTCACGTAATTTTGGCTGTAAAAGAATCAATTATTATTCGATTTTCAATTTTCTTTCGCCATTGGATGCCTAATGCCATAGTGGACTATGTCAAACCATTTTACCCCTTGCGCTGCCACCGGAAATGACGTCATTTGCTCAAAACTTAAATTTTAGCCTTCAAAAAACAATATTTTATTCAAATGATTCGTATTTGTTATTTTTTTCAAATTATGATATTTGATTCTATTGATCAAATAGATTGAACCCATACGATCATACAGATACCACAAAATGGTTTCTAACTTGTACGGTTGCAGAGAAATGGGCGATTTTCCTTAAGTCACTTTTCAAGGTTTTTGGTCTATAAAAGTGTCAGTTATTATTCGATTTTCATAAAATTTTCACCATATGATATCTTGTGTCATTTATGATTTCATAGAACTAATTTAACATTTTCATTATCACCGGAAGTAACGTCATTTTGGCAAAAACTGTATTTTTAGCCTTCAAAACAGATATTTTTTTCAAATGAGTCTTATTTGTATTGTTTTTAAAATTATGATATTTGATTCCAATCAGCAAATAGATTGAACCCATACGATCATACAGATACCAGAAAATGGTTTCTAACTTGTACGGTTGCAGAGAAATAGGCGATTTTCTACAAGTCACTTTTCAAGGTTTTTGGTCTATAAAAGTGGCAATTGTTATTCGATTTACATACAATTTTCACCATGTGATGCCCTATGTCATTTCTGATTTCATAAAAGTAATTGAACATTTTCATTATCACCGGAAGTACAGTACACTTACATGTAACAAATGTATAAAATGAATTGATATTGCTGGATTTTGTTGATTCGGCGTCCATTTTATTTGATGTGTGCAATGCTTATGTGGAAACCTGTTTAATGGTTTCATTGGTACGGGAAGTAACATGTTTAGGGTAAAGTGGCACCGGTGAAACCCGTCATTACTGCATCGCAGTTCTAGTGTTATTATTATTTTGGTATTAGTATCAGTAAGAGGAAATGGATGTAAATGTACTGATTTTATCTGCTGGTATTAACTCTTTAAAAGTTAATATTGTTTAAATTTCTTTTACGATTGAAAGTTACCATTTTATTTTCAATATTTGGAACTTAAATTTGAAAAAATAAATGCGCTTCAATCTACATGAATTTTTTGTAATTTTGTATTGTAGAAAATTTATTTGGAATTTTTGTTTATTTTTTAGACACTGGCTTTATGGAACAAAATTAGGTAATATTTTATTTTAAAATATGTAAGAATACTAGATAAGATATTTTGTAAGATGAGCCGATAACCAATTATTTATTGATGTTGATGTATATTTTCAAAATGAATTTGGTTTATTAATTTTGTATTTCAGATAATGGCAATAAAAAGAGAATACGTGGGTGGTTTCCAAGACGGTGTGCAAGGGAGATAATAGGAAATGACATATCAGAAAGTGATAAGAAAGATGATTAATGTATGCATGTAGTTTACTGTAAATCAAGAAATTAATGTGTCATGAAATTAATACAAATTGAATGGAAGGTGGCCCGTTAATATAGCCATTGTTGGCAGAAAGCTTTTCTTTCAATCTTTAACAGAAGTAGATAAATTTAATTTGACATTGTCACAGATGAGAAATTTGTACTAAGATAACTGTAAATGACGATAGAACATACCTTTTTTGCGGGGTATATCTATAAGTCAAACCTTTTTCCTGCCGAAGTCTAGACTTACCTTATATTCCACATTAACTTACATAAGGATGATGGTAGCTTGTTTTATAAATTCAACTTTGTACAGGACCAGGATGTTGTCAATGAGTACTTTCTATTTTTGTAATATTGATGTGATAGTGGCATTGCCATATTATTGCCATATACAAGATAAAGACAATATGTTTATTGTCTCATATTTATCAGGCATTTTGAAATAAAAACTGGTTCAAATACACCCTTTGAATATTACTCACGTTAGCCTTTTTAAAACATCTTATTATTTTACATCATGAGCCATTTATAATTATATTTATGTATATCAGTAGTCAGTACCATTATAGACTACAATATGCCCTGCCACTTTATACAAGATTGGAATGACATTGAAAAGCATTTGTCGTGTACACTGCTTTAATTTATGTATGGATAAATTGTAAACTACCATGTTTGGACTTATTATTATACCCTGTATAATATGGTATTTAGCACATTAATTTCTTGTTTTACAATATTTTATACAATTATAGATAAATTCTACTTTTCTATAGTTTTTATGTTGAATTTTGTTATGATAAATTATTTATATGTATATGATATAGTCTATATTTTTTATGAAGTACATCACGACCAAGCTTTTGTCCATTGTCCATACTGGTATATATATATATAGTTTTATATGTTACACAATGCAATGTACATAAACATCTATGAAGAAAATGTTTGAGAAATTAAACTTATTAAACATGCATTATGCAAGAGTGATTTTAAAGGTTTTCTTGGCTTATGAGTGAAACAAGTTGACTGAAATTTTCAGCATATTCCCTTTACATTATTTAGTTTTTAACTATTATAGTGAGAACTGCAATCTCTTTATCTAATCTTCCATAATGTATCTTTAAACTACATGTATGTTCTATTTATTTAAAATATTTTTTTTATTATTATTTTGGCTTATTTCTTAATGATGCATTGCATTGTATAAGATTAAGATAAAGAGCTGACAATTCTCGCTATATATAGATAATGAAAAAGGAATATATTGAAAATTGCAGTCAAATTAATTTATTCTGTGCGAAGTTATTTCGTCTTGATTTTCATTTCTACCATTGTTTCCATAATAAAAAAGTGTCAATTATCCATTTTGAAATAAAATTATTAAATGGCGATGGTGTTTAAATCCATTTAAAATCATGACCATCCTATGGTGTAGAGAATTGATTATGGTCTGGTCATGTGAATAATTTTTCATTTTTCTCAGTAGCACCATTACCAGGTATTTTAAAACCAATTTATTTGGAGGATTTCTATATTATAATTTAGAACCTGTTCAAATTTTGGAAACAAATTATTATAATTAAATTTGGTTAACTGTTAGTAACAAACATTGGATTATGTGATAATTAAACATAATCAAGTGGGTTGAAAGTGTGTGAAAGCTTCCCTCTATATATTTCTATGCACCTGTAATGTACTCGCACTGTATAGATGAATTTTAAGCTGGGACCTCTTGTGTACAACAGAACATATCCATTTCTTTTTAAAGATGCATCATGTAAGATAAAAAGCTTGCTAGATAATGAAAAGAGAATATCTTCAAAATTTCAGTCACATTACTTCATTCTGAGTGATGTTAGGGCTGTTTGGAGAATAGTGGAGTCTTGATTTTCATTGTTTCCCTTGTTACGATTGTAAACAAAGTCTTGACTATCCATTTTTTAATTAAATCATTAAACGTCAATCATGATTAAATCTGTTGTTTGTAAATCTAGAGCATCCGATGGCCTCAAGAGTTGATTATGGTCTTGGCAAGTTAAATAATGTCTAATTAATAATTTATATAACATTTAAGGCCTAAAGAGGGACCTGCTCTTGCATACTGCATCTTGAAAATTGGATATGTTCAAACTTGTAATGTAAAAATGTCTTTTGGGATAAAATAACTTTGGGAACTAGATTTTGTAGTTTTGTATGTGAAATGTATTTGATAAACGCAGAACCTATAGGGGAATGCTTGTGCTTTATTTGTGGATGGATTATCAAAACAATGTTAAAGCATGTACGTTTAAAAACAAGACAATTGTAATTTCATCAAGATTGTGGCGAATTACACCTGGATCTCATATAGAGAGATCTCGGGTCTGGCAAGAAACCCTCCCACTGCCAAAGATCCCTACATGCAAGCGACATTTGAACTATAATTGAACCGTATGTTAGTCCCTAAATGACCTAGTTTGTGTCGAATGGACGTTTATTCCCCCCCCCCCTCTCTCCCTCTAGAACTAATGTCGAGACATTGATTTTAAGAAGATTATGAAACTAAGACTTATTAACAAATCGTCGACCTCATTTTATTTTGAAACGATATTTAACCGTACAGATCTTGTTCCATTTGAAAAAGAAAACACGAGATGAAGTCCATTTAACTCTTTCTTTTGACTTAAATCTAACCGGGTTGACTCCTTTGAGTCACTGGGTAGGCCTTTCATCCGCTTTGAAACAAGGCAATATCGCAAGGTGTGTTTTAATTCAAGTAGAATCTATGACACGTTGCTGCCACATGTGTATTAAAGAAGAGAACGATTAACTTTATTCTATGGTATACTGGTCTTAACGTTAATTCAGTCAATATCTCCAGCTGATTCACAGTGAAGTGTTAGATATATCATCAAAAAATATTTAATCTGTGATCAATCTGATAATTAGCCAGAATGGTTATCGTTCTAAGGAACTAATTAATCAATTAAATTTACAAATCAATTCATTTGGTAGTTTATGTAATAATGAATCAAACAGTATTTTAGTATAATATCAGGAACTGTAATAATTTTGCAAAAATTTAATATCAAACATAGGCCTACATAATTTATTACTTTATGCGTGAATTTTCGGAAATAACATATTTCTCACGGCTTAATCCACGCTAATATGCACTCAGATTTAATTAAGAAAAACAAATTAATAATATCAACCCTAGATCCCAGTTTGGATCCAGTCGTATTAAAACAGGCCCATCAATTAGATTTCGCTAAACTTAAAGGTGGCGGTGAACAGGATAGATTGATGGAATTTCAGTTCATCATATCGGTATAAAATACTGAACGGAATGGAACCATTTTTGGGCTGATATTCCTGTTTGAGATTCAACTTTTATAATATGGTACTGACCAGTTATTCTACATATGTATATCGCTAAAATCACGCCCATAGATAAAGATAAATAAAGAGAAAGATAAATAAAATTCGATGGGACTCTATGAATTGTTATAAAAATGAAATATACGGGATACCATTGAATAAATGACAAATGCCCAATAGCAAAATACGTTTTTAGGATTCATAAATACAGTGTCGATATTATACAAAATAATCTTTTTTTTTTTTTTAAAAAAATAATAAAAATAAATACAGACCCATTGGTTATTTATGATTTTTATTCCTAATTCTTTTTATCAAATTAATAAAGTCTGCTATTAATATAGACTAACATGTTAATGTTCTTTCGTAACGTCTCATTTTGAAAGAAAGCTCTTTTTTCTAATAATTAAGAGTCAGAAATGGTTATTATTAAAATGTTGATTTATTGCAAATAAATATTTTGTGTGTGGATTAGAGAGTCCGTTTATCTAAATATCATTTAAACCAATTGTTTTAAATGCAAACATAATACTTTAAAATAAATAAATGCTGGTACTTTATTTATAATTGGTATTAAAAGTTATCCTACGTATTACATGAGCTCGCAAAGAAAATATGGCTATAGCATGTACTATAACGTTAAAATTCCAATTTTAATAAATTTTAATAAATAGAAAGAAAAATGTTTCCTTTTCTAACGATTCCACAAACTTGAATTTCTTTTTATAAAATGTTATAAAAGATAAAATTTAAATATTAGAAGGATACTCACATGAGTTTGTAGATTATCCGATATTAACATCCCACCCCCAACCAGATATACCAGATAACTAAACTGACCATATGTTTGTATTTAGTAAGACAGTAGGTAAACATTAGTTTAAAGTATTGTATTAACATGATTAATGCCCCCTGTCTCTATAATCTAATTATTATTGTTATTTATAATTACACAACATATCTACTCTTACTTTACATGCAATCTCCATATACAGTAGCCCCTATCTGTCTTTCCCTTATCTTGGTTGGTTCAGGGTATCTCTCTTGTCCAATCAGGATATGTGTTAGATAATGACACCACGGGGTACGTTTCGGTAGATGCTCTTAAATACCAGGAATAAATCTTGTAGCATCACAACTCACTTGTTCAGCGTAAGTAAACAATGTTTGAACCTCGTATTGCTATTTACAATGTTTATTATGTAAACTTATATTACGGCCAGTGCGTTCATTTTAGGCGGTACTATTACTTTATTTGTAGAGAAATCCCCATTGGATTATAAGAACCAATATTTTTTATTGTAATATTGACAATTTTTTAGGTTTAAAGTTTTAATATTAACCACAGTAAAATCCTAAGTTATAATGTTTGATTTTGCTTCATATATACCACCGGTGAAACAATGTTATATTCTTTATTTCAGTTAGTTGTCAGAACCAGACCTAGAGAGATCACTTTAGTCGCCATATCTTTTTTTTTCATCAATAGCAAGTAATCATGTCTTACGATCCCAATGATCCCGACTTCCAATATTTGGCTGTCGACCGTAAGAAGATGATGAAGGAACAGACTCAAGCTTTCGATGGTAAAAAAGCTTGTTGGGTTCCAGATGAAAAGAACATGTTTTTACCCGCCGAGATCACTGGCTCCAAGGGCGATGACATTGAAGTCAAGATAACTACCACCAATGAAGTAATTATCAATTACGAATCAATTTATAAGCTTTCTAATCTTTAATTTAGACTGGTATCTTATGATTGTAGTACATAATTATTTTCCATTTAAAAATGAAATTTGGAACATTTATTTTGAAAAAAAAGAAAGAAAAAGAGTAAGAATTTTTAAACGACTTATAAATTAAGCAAACGATAAAATTTATTTCAGTCAAGAACTGTGAAAAAAGATCAAATCCAACAGATGAATCCTCCTAAATATGAGAAGATCGAAGATATGGCCAATATGACCTACCTGAATGAGGCGTCAGTTCTTCATAACTTGAAATCACGTTACACCGCCGGTCTCATTTATGTAAGTATTCATAAAATATATAAATCTATTTGATAAGAAAATAACTTATTCATAAGAAGAGTATCCGAAATAAAGAAAATAAAAGCTTGATTTTATTCGCACCTTTTTCAAACTTTCTGTCACTCGATGAATGCTAATGTTTCTGTTGTTCCTTTACACATCTGTTGATTATAGATTAATTGACAAAATGATATTTTATTTGAAATATTGAAAAAGAATATTGTGATATCAATTTATTCGATTATTTATATTTCGTCCCAAACAGACTTACTCTGGTCTGTTCTGTGTAGCTGTGAATCCCTACCGACGTCTACCTATTTACACCATGAGTGTTATCTCTAAATATAGAGGTAAACGAAAGATGGAAATGCCTCCCCATTTATTTGCTATTGCTGATAACGCCTACCAATCTATGGTACAAGAACGTGAAAACCAATCTGTTTTAATTACGTAAGTACAAATTAAAAGGTTCAGTTATTTGTAACAGTGGATTTTTGCAAGGTGAACCACTTTCACGGGTCTTGTTCAGTTTGTAAATAAATGGTTTTGAAAATAAAATTGCATATGATATCATTAAGGATTTTTTCACCAAATCCGAATAGCGAACAATATGCACATGGAAATCATTATAAGATTATTTTACGATAGCTAGCCTAATTATTATGTATTATCATTTCGACACAAAACTGTTATAAATTTATATTTCAGTGGTGAATCTGGTGCTGGTAAAACTGAAAATACCAAGAAAGTTATTATGTACTTCGCCCAAGTTGCTGCAATGGGTCACAAACCAACTGAAGAGGAAGAAGCTACAGACAGTAAAAAGGTAAAATATTTTCGACATTTCAAACAGTTCCTAACGTAATTTAATTATTTTAAGGGCAAAAAGACACGTCCATATATTTCCAAACTATCGGTTGGGGATTATAATCTCTATAGAATGTAGGTAATCATAAATCCCTAGAACCTTTCTGAAAAACAACAACTGCCAGTCTCACTTTATTTGATAGAAAAATCTGTTTTAATTCAGGGTACATTGGAAGACCAAATTGTACAATGTAATCCAGTACTTGAGGCTTATGGTAACGCCAAGACAACCCGTAACAACAACTCTTCTAGATTTGTAAGTATACACACATGATATCATATTCAGAGTCCACAAAAACAAAAGATATTATTAGCGTGATAGTTCGTGGAATTGACCAAAATTGAATAAATGTTTTTTTTTTTGTGTTATTGCCCAACTCAAACAATCCATTAGCTCCTTGAATCGAAACTTATTATTATGTTCATTTCAGGGTAAATTTATCCGTATCCATTTTGGTACTCAAGGTAAAATCTCTGGAGCTGATATTGAACAATGTAAGTAGCAGTAAATTGATTATAACTTTTAAAAAGAAAAACCCAGATAAAATAATTCTGGATTATCTATTCATTTAATTCATTTTGACAATTTTATTTACAGATTTGTTGGAGAAATCTCGAGTCACCTTCCAGCAACCTGCTGAAAGAAACTATCATATTTTCTACCAGCTTCTGTCTAATGCTATTCCAGAATATAACGGTAAGGATACTGACAGAAAACCCCCCAACAAATATCTAAACTCTCCCACTATAATTCAATAACAGTAAAATCTACATTAAAAAAACCTAATAAATGCTTTTATAATTCTAAATGTTTCAAATCTTTTTATTAACAGAGAAACTATTGGTGAACCCAGACCCAGCTTTATACTCATTTTTAAACCAGGGATGTCTGACTGTTGATAATATTGATGATGTTCAGGAAATGAAAGATACTGATGTACGTATTTTTTAAAGGGGCATTATGGAAGATTAGATAAAGAGCTGGCAGTTTTCACTATAATAGTTAAAAACTAAATAATGTAAAGGGAATATGTTGAAAATTTCAGTTAAATTGCTCCACTCTGAACCTAGATATTAACGATCATCATTACTAAAGTCGGCACGATAAAAAAAAACGTACCTGCAATAGGCAGATTTAGCTCTTGCATGATGTATGTTTAAACTAAAATTATAAATTAAAAAAGAATACAGCTAGAAACATGCTCATCTTCGTACTTATAATTATGTATAGGTTGCGTTTACTTATATTTATAGGTTACCTTTACTTATATTTATAGGTTACCTTTACTAACGGTTGCTTTTATTTATATTTATAGGTTACCCTTCCTTATATTTATAGGTTACCTTTACTTATATTTATAGGTTGCTTTTATTTATATTTATAGGTTACCCAAACTTATATTTAAAGGTTACCTTTACTTATATTTATAGGCTGCTTTTACTTATATTTCTAGATTAACTTTACTTATGTTTACAGGTTGCTTTCGATGTTTTGGGTTTTTCCACTGAAGAGAAACATGGAGTCTTTAAATGTACTGGTGCTATCCTCCATTTTGGTGAAATGAAATTCAAACAACGAGGGGAACAGGCTGAATCTGATGGCAATGCTGGTAAATATTTTTGTTATTCTGTTTATTGTCGGTTGTGAAATAGCGAGAGACAGACAAGGTTATCATATCATGTTTAATTCACCACTATCATGGACAAAGCTTTCATTCAATTATTGAGTATCCATCTACCAAGTTATGTAATTCACCAGTTAGTCACCATTCTTCCTTTAAGTGGTCATTTGATCAAATTTTACCTTTCAGAGGCTGAGAAGGTAGCTTTCTTATTGGGTATCAACTCTGGAGATCTTATGAAAGGTTTGATCAAACCCAAGATCAAGGTCGGCACAGAATTTGTCACCCAAGGTAGAACCAAAGTTCAAGTCGTCAACTCTGTTGGTGCTTTGGCTAAATCTCTCTACGATCGTATGTTCAAGTGGATGGTTGTTCGACTGAACAAAACTCTGGATACTAAAGCAAAAAGACAATTCTTCATTGGTGTACTAGATATTGCTGGTTTTGAAATCTTCGATGTAAGTGAATTTTTATTTTCTTGTTTGAATTATGAAGGTATAATCCAAAAAATGAACTTAAAACAAACAATTTACATTCAGACAACAATGAAAGAATTCTGGAAATTAATTTCAGTTCAACAGCTTTGAACAGTTGTGTATCAACTACACCAATGAACGTCTACAACAGTTCTTCAACCATCACATGTTTGTACTGGAACAGGAGGAATACAAGAAAGAGGGCATTGACTGGGAATTCATTGATTTTGGAATGGATTTACAAGCTTGTGTGGATCTTATTGAAAAGGTGAGCGAACAGTGCAAAATAGATAACAAATATACAAACACCGTTTTGGGTAGTAAATAATGGATATCTTGTAAGCCATATATTATTGTTTTGTGCCTGTGTACAAGTCTACAGTTTCCATTACTTCTATTAGTAGTTTCTGTTATATGTGTGTATTTTCTTCAGCCTATGGGTATCTTGTCCATCCTAGAAGAAGAATGCATGTTCCCAAAAGCCGATGATAAGTCCTTCATGGATAAATTATACAACAATCATTTGGGTAAATCACCGAACTTTGGTAAACCAGTTGGTAAGAAAGTGAAAGGCGAAGCTCACTTTGAACTTCATCATTATGCTGGTACTGTACCATACAGTATTACTTCCTGGTTAGAAAAGAACAAGGATCCCTTGAACGAAACCATTGTAGAACTCTTGGTCCACTCCAAGGAAGCTCTTGTAGCTGCTTTGTTTGCTCCTGCAGGTAAGTTTTTTGACACTACTGTTTGAAAAATATAACAATAACTAAATATTTATCGAATAATACAGCTTCTCTAAAAAAATGACAGTGTATGATACAAATAACATTTATCATTTTGCACTATAGATCCTGGAGCAGCAGCTGGGGGTGCTACCAAGAAGAAGAAGAGTTCTGCTTTCCAGACTATTTCTGCCACACACAGGGTAAGGTTTAACAACGTATCCAAATTCTTAATCCAATTATCTTTTCGTACGTTTGAATTTAGAATACCGAAAATTTATTTTATGCTCACCATAATGTAACCTATTTTTATATATTTGAATGTTAACGTAATTTTATTTTACGCTGTCTTCCAGGAGTCTTTGAACAAACTAATGAAGAGCTTGTACACAACGCATCCTCATTTCGTGAGATGTCTTATCCCCAACGAATTCAAACAACCGGGGGAGGTTGATGCTCATTTAGTACTTCACCAGCTCCAGTGTAATGGTGTATTGGAAGGTATCCGTATTTGCCGAAAGGGATTCCCAAACAGAATCATACACTCTGAGTTTAAACAAAGATACTCTATCTTGGCTCCCAATGCTATTCCTGAAGGATTCGTTGAAGGCAAGACTGTTGCCACGAAGATTCTCCAGGCGTTGGAATTGGATACTAACGAATATAAATTGGGTTCCACTAAAGTCTTCTTCAAAGCTGGTGTTTTGGGTTATCTCGAAGATCTTCGTGATGAACGACTGAGTAGTATCATTTCCATGTTCCAAGCCCACATCCGCGGTTATTTAGTAAAGAAATCCTACAAGAAACTCTGCGATAGAAGGTAACTTATTCTCTTATAAAATCCACAGTAATGAACAACCAAAAACCATTTAGCATTCAGTTTTCGATGATATCGATTAGATCATATAATTCACATTAAGATTTGAAACAATATCGGTGACTGGAAATGTATAATATTGAAGTTTTACTTCAGAGCTTAGGTGGACAAACTGCACTTGAAATATACTAGAGCTGGTAGATATTGGGCATCTGATACCATAATAAGTAAGGCATTGTAATTGTAACTGATTTGTTCTCTTTAACAGAGTTGGTCTATCAGTCATTCAAAGAAACATCCGAAAATGGTTGGGTATGCGCAATTGGCTCTGGTGGAAGATGTACACCAAGGTCAAGCCTCTTTTGAACGTTGCCCGTGCCGAGGACGAGATAAAGCAGAAAGAGGAATTGTTCGAAAAAACTAAATCCGAATTAGAGAAAACCGAAAAGGTTAAAAAGGAGCTTGAAGAACAGAATACAGTTTTATTACAACAGAAAAACGATATGTTCATTCAACTCCAAGCAGAACAAGATAACGTTGCTGACTGCCAAGAGAAAATCGAAAAGCTTATCCTTCAAAAAATTGACTTTGAAGCTCAACTTAAAGAATTTGAAGACCGTATCTTGGACGAGGAAGATGCTGTTGGCTGTCTTGAAGAAAAGAAAAAGGAACTTGAAAAAACCAATGACGATTTAAGGAAAGATATTGAAGATCTTGATACTTCTCTTGCTAAAGCCGAACAAGAAAAAGTAACGAAGGATAACCAGATTAAAACTTTGAATAACGAAATCGGTCAACAAGATGAGATGATCGGTAAACTCAATAAAGATAAGAAAAATATGGAAGAAGCTAACAAGAAATTGACTGAAAGTCTGCAAGCTGAAGAAGACAAAGTCAATAATCTTAGTAAACTGAAGACTAAAATGGAACAAACCCTGGATGAGGTAGAGTATTAAATCGTCTTTATTAATTTATGACCATTTTATTATTTATCTTAAAGTTGTTGTTACAGACGTTATTTACGTAGGAATTTATGTTAACACATGTTTTACTATATTCAGTTGGCAAACAACCTAGAACGCGAAAAGAAGGTTCGAGGTGATGTAGAGAAAGTTAAAAGAAAACTAGAACAAGATTTGAAAACGAATCAGCAATCAGTTGAAGAATTAGAACGAATTAGACGAGAGTTGGAAGAAGGTATGAGAAAGAAGGATGTTGAAATCAATTCTCTTCACTCAAGAGTTGAAGATGAGCAGACGAGCGTCACGCAACTTCAAAAGAAAATCAAAGAATTTCAGGTAATTGGAATGGATTCACCATTTGGTTTTGTAAAGTGTATACTTTATTAATATATTTAAAATATAAAGTAGTACAATAAACGGACCTTATCTTAAGCCTTGAAGATTTTCTTCAGATCATTACATGATTCTATTTTCACACTTTATATATACTTCCAGTCTACCATTGAAGAGCTTGAAGAAGACCTCTCTGCTGAAAAGCAAACACGAGCTAAGGTGAGAATCCATTAAGCACTGCACTGGCCGATTATAAATAAATGACGATGTATTATTCAGTACAAAATCCCTAACAATTTCATTTTAATTTCCCTTCCCACACTCCTACTGGTACTAATTGGACGTTACTACCTTCCTAATAGGTTGAGAAACAGCGAAATGACTTGACTCACGAAATTGAAGATATCAGTGAACGACTGGATGAAGCTGGTGGCGCCACTTCTGCTCAGATTGAAATCAACAAGAAACGTGAACAGGAATTGTTGAAACTAAAAAGAGATCTTGAAGAGAGTCAGCTACAACATGATGCTCAAGTTGCTAGTCTCAGAAAGAAACAACAAGATGCTGTTAATGAATTATCTGACCAGGTTGAGCAACTACAGAAGGTTAAAAGCAAGTGAGTATTTTCTCTATAACGGAGTGTGTCTTTTGATAAATCTTCAGATTCGTGTGTTTAATTACTATGCAAAGTTTCTGATAAAATATGTTACTATCACATTCTATATGAATTATTTTAGATTTTAGGAGCAAGTGAGTATCTTTAGAATTCTTATATGCATATTTAGAAAGGATTATTCTATAATATTTTCTTACAGAACATATTAATGACATTATCTCATTGGATTTCAGAGTTGAAAAAGAAAAACAGCAATTGAAATCCGAGATCGAAGATTTAGCAGCACAGCTTCAACATTCAAGCAAAAATAAGGTTAGCATATTAAAGCACATTGGGGCCTGAATTTCAATCAAACATTTACCTATTTCGATAATAATGTCATCTTATTATGTTGAAGACTAACTTTTATTGATTGTTTTTAAAGAATGAATTTCAATCTTAAAACTAAACTTTTAGGGTATGTCTGAGAAGATGACTAGACAGGTTGAATCACAAATTTCCGAACTGAACGCCAGACTCGAAGAAGGAACCCGAACTATCGCCGAACTCCAATCGAGCAAGACAAAAATCCAACAAGAAACTATTGAAATCACTCGACAACTCGAAGAGACTGAACACCGATTTAGTCAAATCACTAAGGAGAAGATGAGTATCCAATCTCAGTTCGAAGAAACCAAACGATCTCTCGAAGAAGAAACGAGAATTCGCCAGAAACTCCAGGGTGACATCCGTACCATAACATCTGATTACGAGTCTATCCGGGATCAGATTGAAGAAGAACAGGATAATAAAAGTAACCTCCAGAGATTGTTGTCTAAAGCCAATTCAGATGCTCAACAATGGAGATCTAAATATGAAAGTGAAGGACTTGTCCGAAGTGAAGAACTTGAGGAGGCCAGGTAGGAAACAATTTACACCTTGCATAACCATTCAAGTATAATTATTCTTATTTGCAATGGTAAATTCGTGTTTTGCTTTTAGCCTGCTTTTTAACTCTTGGTGTACTCTTCATTCATTTATTTACTGGTGCACATTTCATTTACAGGCGTAAACTTCAATGTAAGCTTGCTGATGCTGAACAAAATGTTGAAGCTGCCAATATCAAAATTAACAACTTGGAGAAAACCAAATACAGAATGCAGGCCGAGATGGAAGATCTTATGATTGAAGTCGAGAGAGTAAGTCGTTCTTCGTCGTCTCATTATTTATAAAAATAGGTTTGCAAGCGAAGTGTAATGATGTAAGTTAAATGTAGGTGAGGCCTTTGACATTATGTATTTATATTCTGTAGGCTAACAGCAGCGCCACCATTTTAGAGAAGAAACAACGGGGTTTCGATAAAACTACATCCGAATGGCAGTCAAAATTCTCTGATATACAATTTGAATTGGAGACCTCACAGAAAGAATCCCGTGGACTTTCCGCTGAACTATTCAGAGTGAAAGCTAAGGATGTTGAAACACTTGATCGCGTCGAAGCCTTAAAACGAGAAAACAAAAACCTTTCAGGTGAGATTTTCAATATTAATACTGTCGGTATTATATTAAAGTCGAGACTTTGCATAGTTATTACTATCACATCGACCAATCTTATATTTATTGTACAAAGAGGTCAGATATACTTTTAAAAATCAAACTGCTCATAATTTAGTGTGTTCTGTAAAGTCATCAAATATACAAATTTCCTCAACAGATGAAATCCGTGAATTGACAGACCAACTAAGTGAAGGTGGAAGAAACATCCATGATGTTGAAAAAACTAGAAGACGAATCGAAATGGAGAAAGAAGAACTTCAAGCTGCTTTGGAAGAAGCTGAGGCTACTCTTGAACAAGAAGAAGCTAAAGTCATGAGGGCTCAACTGGAAATCTCCCAAGTCCGACAAGAAATCGACAGACGTGTCAATGAAAAGGAAGAAGAATTTGAAAATACCAGGTAAATAATACCTTTAGTAATACATCACGTACTATATTGATGCAATGACTGCCGATACAATGTTTATTTAAATAGTTCACCGTTAATTTAATTGTTATCCGTATGACCAACCTAAATTTAATTGGCCCACATATTAACTGCTTGTTGGTATCGTCCAAGGTAAACTATCTAATTAAAAGTATTATCAGTATTTGTCTTTTGACTTACTACACGTTCGTCCACTCAGTCCAACATGTAAGTCTTAAATTGTGTTACAAATTAAGGTTTAAAATTTGAGTAATATTTCGGTTGAAAAATCTTTTAATATTATCCAACCCAGTATTCTACTTACTAATGTGAATAATTATATCGTGTACAGGCGAAACTACCAGCGTTCAATTGAATCTATGCAAGTATCTCTTGAGGCTGAAAGCAAAGGCAAAGCTGAAGCCATGAAAATCAAGAAGAAATTGGAACATGACGTCAACGAATTGGAAATTGCTCTGGATGCCGCCAACCGAGGCCGAACAGATATTGAGAAAAATGTTAAGAAATATCAACACCAGATAGATGTAAGTATCTCCCCAGGTAGCATCACAACCATTTATTTACTTCTTTGCTTCCAGTCTGCTATTTTACAATAGTAGTATTCCAAGAACCCCTTGGAGAGGTTTAAACGATATATTGATTTAGCTTAAAGTTTTTGTGATGATTACAGGAAATGGAAACTAGGTGCGAAGATGAACAGCGACAGAGAGATGAAGCCCGCGAATCCTACAATATGGCCGAACGACGATGTGCTGTCATTAGTGGTGAAGTAGAGGAACTCAGAACATCTCTTGAACAGGTATGAAAAATATATAAATAAGAGTTCTTTTGTTTCTGGCTTATAAAGAGAATGTTTAGTAAGATTTACAAAAAGAAAAACCTCACAAAAATTAAATTTTATAATTTTGTCGTTTCGTTTTATGATACATATGTTTAATGTTGTTTACTTCTCTAATTTTCAAATCTTTTATTCTTCAGGCCGAACGAGCAAGAAAATCAGCAGAAAGTGAACTCATAGATGCTAATGTACGTGTGAGTGAGATGACTGCCCAAACCAACTCAATCAATACACACAAGAGAAAGTTGGAATGCGATATCGCCGCCATGCAATCCGATTTAGATGAGATGCATTCTGAACTTCGAGCCTGTGATGAAAGATGCAAGAAAGCCGTATGTGACGCTGCACGTTTAACAGAGGAATTAAGAAGCGAACAGGAGCACAGTATGCAGATTGAAAAGATCCGAAAAAGCTTAGAATGTAACACCAAAGATCTCCAGATACGAATTGACGAAGCTGAAGCCCAGGGCTTGAAGGGAGGAAAGAGAGTTGTGCAGAAACTTGAACAAAAAGTAAGAGAAATGCAAACTGAGCTGGAAACTGAACAACAACGTCATGGTGAAACTGAAAAGAATATGAGAAAAGCTGAACGACGTCTCAAGGAGCTTCTTTTCCAATCAGATGAAGACAAAAGAATCCAAGAACGTATGCAGGAATTGGTTGAAAAGCTGCAGGATAAGACAAAAACTTACAAGAAGCATGCCGAGGAAGCAGTACGTATTTGTTTACTTTTATCCATGCAAGTTAAATATCTTTATACTTTTATTTTTATTAAAAAGTCCAAATTGTCAATGATCCCTTTTATGAAAAACATTTAATCACTCTCTGCATTTGAATTTCAGGAGGAAGTTGCTGCTGTTAACTTGGCTAAATTCCGTAAAATCCAAAGCGAATTGGAAGATGCCGAAGAAAGAGCTGAAGCTGCTGAAAGTGTCACCAATAAACTCCGCGCAAAAAGCAGGAGTACTGTTTCTCAGACTCGCTCCAGCTCAGTATCACGAACCACGGCTGTAAGATTTTCTTAAGGTAGGTAGCAACAGTGGCTACCCGGCCTCGTCTGCACAGCCATAGCTCACCACCCAATACAATATTAAATCTATTTTCTGGGTGGATAAAAAAAAATCTGTTTATAACTTGTTTGTAAAGACAAGTGGGATTAAATAGGGCTTAATGTAATTTCGTTCTACGCCGGGTTCTTTTGCAGTAGGGGCAAACCCGAGAAGTCCTGGTAGGATGACCTAAAACAACGTGTAATCAACACTTCCATCTAGGACAGACCTTACGGTCTACACTAAACCCCTCGTGTTTGTTTCAGGACGGGAGCATGGCAAGGAAAAGCGTCTCGCCGTCCGGAAACGTTGGAAAATCTACGTGTGCACAAAAGAATACCTTAGACAGTTGGAATTCGAAATAAGAATATACCGTAGCGCCTATGACCGTCTTCATTAGCCTGATTGGTGCAGAAACATGGGACGTTAAACACATTTCATTTTATTTGTGTATTGTAAATAATGTCATATTAACCTATATTTCAGGTGTTTTGGTTATCATGGTGACTGTATAGTCCAGTGTCATTATACTAGTATAGCCTTGTGTCCTGTTGATAAGCGAATGTCAGCTTAATCGTAATTTCGTACAACCTAAAGACAATTAACCAACCTATCAATTATTTGTTATTTCGCACGACCGAAACAAGTTAAACAAGATACATGATTTTCTATCAGTTAATAAAGCAGTATGATACTAATCAGCTTTACATTGTATAGCTGTATAAATAATTACAATAATTAACTTATTCATATTTATTGTATACACGTCTTTGTTGAAATGATAATAAAAACTGTTTTACCTGAACTGTTATTCACATATATTGTTGTTGCAATTAAGAACCCGTGCTTTAAATTAGAAGAGGCCGGGGTAACAGAGTTGCCCAAATTTGAAATTTTCCAAAACTTTTAACCAATGGCGAGCAATTGGCCTCCATGTGAGCTTTCAAAAACTGGTTTGAATTGGTCTAGAAAAATTAGGTAAACTCGGCGTTAATTAAAGCAATGGGTTAGGCCTAGATGTCATATGCCGAACCTAATTACAACAAACATTTGCGGAAACTTTACAAATAATTGAGAAGTGTTAGCAACAAGCATATATTGCCTCGTGTATAACACACGTGAAATGGAATGAAATGGGGTTTAATGTCCTACTGTTC